ATCTCTAACCTTGTTACATTTGAAGACCATGCTAAATGCATATTTGATATTGTTGCCTGTTTAGACTTTCAACAATGTAGCTGTACAAAATAAAAGAAATGTCCCTCTTTTAGAGCAGGAGTTTTAAAATAATCAACAATCGTCCTTAAAAAATGATTTAAAAAACATTAATAGAACTACAACGAACACTTTGTTATTGAAAGATGCCAGAAAATGTAAAGAAATGCAGAGAAAATTTAAATTCATTCAAGAAAATTTAATAAATACCTCAATGTTATTAACTTTACTGATAGTGAAGATAGCATTAAAGAACAAGAGAAAGTAACAAAAAACTTCACTGTTAGTAACAAAGAACAGCAAGAGAGAAATTTAGCAGGTCCTTCAGTATTACACGAAGATAAAAAAATTACTTAAATGCGCATTAAACTGCCATCAGTTTCCTCTGTTTATAATCGCACAGAAATATTTAATAGAGCTGTAAATAAAGAATTGTATTTTGATGGAAGAAAAGATAAGCCAATTATCCATGAAAGAGAAGGAACTAAATTTTACAAAATGATTACAACAGAAGAGCACATTTTGCTAATAGAACAACCAAACTCAAAGTTTTTAGGTCACGTAACATCATTATCTGGTACTGGTGAACACATTGCAGAGAGAATAATTGAGTTTTTACTAGATCACCAACATAACAAACAATTTGTCGTTTTTAACGCAAAGGATGTGATGGAACCGTTGTAAATTCTGGAGTCAATTAAAGTGTTATTTCGTTGTTGGAAATCAAAATAACAAGATCATTGTAATGTTTAGTTTGCATATTTCATGGTAACAAACTGCCTTAACAAACGCCACATTTATTATTCTTTAGATAGTAAAAAGATAGTAAAAGTCCGAATGAGTTTAAAAGGAGATTAGGTAAGAAACTGCATAAGTGTCATAAGTTGCCGGTAGTTACCTTTTTACCAATTGAAAATAACCTTCCCTTATTAGAAAATGTAAGTACAGATCAAAAGTACTTAATGGCAATGTGTATTGCTGTATCAAGTGAAAACTGCTGTTTAGATTTATTATTGAAAACCCATTGAAAACTATTTAACTCTGGATAATTCTGGCTGAGTTTATTGTAAAGATTATGCACCTGTCTGGTTTAACATTAAGTTGAAACCTTTATGTTCGAACGCTTCTAATCACCTCTATAGGTTTATTACTAACTCACGTTATTTAACTAAGGATCTAAAAAAAAAATAGATCTAGTTATTCAAAGAAATAGATACTTTGCTGCTCCGGAAAATATTCTTTTGTCTATGCTATGTGATGACCGCAAACATAAAAGAGAGCTTGGTTAGCGTAGACTTCTAAAAGCAAGAGCAGAGAGTAGAGGTAGTATTAGAAATGTAATCATTTTATTAGGGAAATATCAGAATCAACTGTTGTGGAGAACCCATTAATTGACTTTCCTCGATTTCCATATCCCACACATGTTGAGAAAGATTGGTAAAACTAGTTACTAAGTCATCTTTGTCTGTAGACCATTTCAAGAAAAGGCTGCAATAAAATTCTACGATTCAGTATATAAAAGAATAATCGAACGTAGAGTTATTATGTAGTAGGCTAGTTAGATTATTTAGAAGATCCCAACACTTACCTAAAAACACTTACACAAAAAAGTACAAAATTAAAACGATCAACAAGAAACCAATTTACTTTAATAATTATAGAAATTGTTCATTGTTTTTTCCTCATTGATGAAAATGTTAAAAAAAAATAGTTTAAATCAAAAGAATGAGAATACATACTATTGTATTAAGCCTATGTATGAAAACGCTACAAAAAAAGGAAAATTGAATCATATTTTGCCAAAAAAAAAGCACCATCTTTTAACAGTAGTAACTTTTCAAAATAAGGTTTTATCAATTATAAAGGCAAAGAGCATTTTTGAAAAAATAAACAAAAGAACAATTTTACAATGCTTTGTTAACTATTTGACCATCGTTGATCTAAACAAATAAAATGTTTTTGTGAGAGAAATTGAGAACATCCTTAAATGATTAAAAGATTGATTCGTTATGCTTTCTTCGCTTACATCATTTACAGGAAAAAGTGAACATAAAAGAACTGCTATTTGAATTAACTTATTTTCAAACTTTTATGTTTTTTACAAATGTTAATGAATTACTAAATAATATTCAAACTTTTTATGTTTTAACCAAAATTTTTAAATTAAAATTTTTTATCAATTTCAAACATTGCAATATTATAACCATTCTTATTAATTACATTGAAACATTTTATAACTTTTTTATTTATTAAGTCAAAATAAAGTTAAAATTGCTGCTTCTCAGATTAAAACTAGTGGAATGCTAAGCCAAAAAAATTAATCTATTGCATTTTTTTTTGGGCTTTATAAACTCTAACATCATGATAAAAATAAAGTTAGACTTACTAAGTTTTGAAAAAACAAACTGGGAACTGGTACTTTCTGCAGTTCTATCCTCCATTTGATCACAGCTATAAATTCTAGCCCATATAACAAACTATTGGCTTTCAAATGCACAACCATCACTAGTGTTGATTAACCTGACTTTCTAGTAGACTCTGGTAATACTATCTTTCACTAAAATAAACTACAATTCAAAAGAGATCTGCTGGTAGGACTGGTTACCATTGCTTAATTCCATATCACCAGACAATGCATGTATAAAATACATGAACAGCATAATTGACATAGAGGCTAATGAAGGTAATCTGAATTTAACAAATGATTGGCATTTCATATCTACTGCCAATGGTTTTTCTTCTCCTAATTAAGCAACTATAAGTATCGAAATTGCACAACCCATAACTAAAAACACTAGTGGTACAACTACACAGTATTTACCGGATATTACAAAATACGCACACTGTGTTAGAAGACCTCTATCTAAGCCTAATTTGTTATTAAGCTTAGATAGAAGAAGAATTATATCTTATATATATATATATATATATATATATATATATATATATATATATATATATATATATATATATATATATATATATATATATATATATATATATATATATATTATATATATATATATATATATATATATATATATATATATATATATATATATATATATATATATATATATATATATATATATATATATATATATATATATATATATATATATATATATATATATATATATATATATATATATATATATATATATTATATATATATATATATATATATATATATATATATATATATATATATATATATATATATATATATATATATATATATATATATATATATATATTATATATATATATATATATATATATAATATATATATATATATATATATATATATATATATATATATATATATATATATATATATATATATATATATATATATATATATATATATATATATATATATATATATATATATATATATATATATATATATATATATATATATATATATATATATATATATATATATATATATATATATATATATATATATA